GAGAAGAAGAAGAAGAAGAAGAAGGAGGAAGAAGGGAGGAGGAGGAAACAAAGAAGAGAAAAAGAAGAAGGTGGAGAAGGAAGGTAGGAGGAGGAGGAGAAGAAGGAGGGGAATGAGAGGGAGAAGAAGAAGGAGAAGGAGGAAGGGAGGAGGAGGAAACTAAGAAGAAGAAAAAGAAGAAGGAGGAGGAGGAAGGGAGGAGGAAGGAAGAAGGGGGAGAAGAAGAAGAAGAAAGAGGGAAAGGAGAGGGAGAAGAAGAAGAAGAAGGAGGGAAAGGAGAGGGAGAAGAAGAAGGAGGAGGAGGAAGGGAAGATGAAGAAAAAAGAATCAGGGAAGAAGAAGAAGGCAGAGGAGGAGGAGGTGAGGGGGGAGAAGAAGAAGAACTGTTGGAACAACAACAACAACAAAAAACAACATTAAATAAAAGAGTTGGTGAATGTCACAAAAGACGAAATAGCGTTAGCCTAGTTGATGTTACTACATGTCAAAACATGGGTTATTCAATGTCGAAACCAGTCTTTTGTTAATTATCAGGTTTGAGTCAGCAAACGTTTACTTTGTAGGGACTGATTTTGGTCGTTTCTATTTGAGTCTATAAGCATTTACTTGTTTGAGGAATAGACAAATATTCTATTTGCCGTGCCCTTTCAAAACGTGGGCATTCCTTGTTCTCCCCCAACTTTCTGTCTTTTGTAATTCTAAGTAAGATTTTACTTTTTTCTATCTCTCCTTATCCACGTTCTAGTAATACGTTAAGTAGGCTGCCTTTCTCTGTCCATCTTGACTTCAGTATTTCCTGCGAGTGTCAAATTCGCCAAACCCTTATTCCTCATCATGTGAGGTAAATATCAATAGTTTATATTTGAGTCTATAAATGTTTACGTGATTGTGATTATAAAAAAATAAATGCAAAATTTGAAAACATAACGTTTCTTCTGCGCATAAACAAATGTTACAAAATCCAAAAAAAAGTTTTTCCATTTGTCTTTTATATTTTTAACAGACAAACACTACTAGACATTGGCATCAGTGTTCATTTTGATCTATTGAAACGCGCTCTATCCCGGATATTAAATACATTTAAGCTTATAAATCTAGCATATCCCAAAACTATACTTCATCTCTCTCTCTCTATATTTCTCTTTTTCTCTCATTCCCAGACACACACGCACACACATATATACACAGAGACATATATACAGAGTACGCCAAAAAATGTATACACACTTCAGGAAAGTAAAAACTTGTATAGATCTCGGAATACTAAATTTATCAGATATCACGTGATTAATACAAGTTATTTTAAGGCTCTACAATCAGTAGAGAAACTCAAAATGGCGGCCTTTAGCTTCCTGGCATTTATTAGTATGGCGAATTATTGTTTGGGTTTGGGCAACGTTGGACAAAGTGTGAAGTGGAATTGATTCACATGCATTTTCGATTCCTAGTGTAAGGTCTGGCATTGCAATCAGTGTTCTGCGACAACATCCTTTAGGACTTATTAATGTTCCAGTCATTAAGTTAATGTCATCTGTCGAGAAAATATCGGACTACAATAAAAAGTGTTATCACAATTTGAGAAAACTACGAAAGATAATTTTTCCTTTTCTGAAGTGTGTATACATTCTTTCTATCTCTCTCTCTCTATATATATATATATATATATATTATGAAATAGACAAAGTCCGACAATTATTTAAAAATTATTTTTAGAAAATATGCGATCGAACCCATATCCTATACGGAAACGTCATATAGCCTGACGTGCTTTTACCGATTGAGCCACAGAGGAGCGTTTCAGTTAGCAAGGTCGATTTTACTGGGATTTTTTAAACTACAATTCTCCATGATTTTCTCTTGTACATTCATACTGCTCGATGCGTATCCAAATGTAAACAAATGACGCCACACTTTATGAAATGGACTAAGTCCGACAATTATTTTAACACATTTTTCATTTTTTATTATAACCAGAGCATTCCCTTAAGTATTTGTATCTATATAAAGAACGTATAAACATAAAAATGTCTTAATATATATATATATATATATATATATATATATATATATATATATAACTGATACAACAAAATACAGCGATATGAATGGATTTCTCTGTATCCTCAGAAACGTGAATTAGAATTTATGCAATGCCTTTAAAACCCAGTAATTTTAAAATAAGTTACTCCAAAATTCGCTTGAGGATGAATGGAACTAATGTCTTTAATTTAATTACAAAATTAAATTCGAAGCTTTTAGCTTCCATTTTTGAAACATGGTTAGAACTGTGTAGCGGAAAAACATTTTAAATCAGTTAATATATAATATTAATGGTCTGTAAATTTACATTGAGCACTATTTTGTAAAAATAAAATATCTATAAGAACACCGGTTTATATATCTTACTGTTCTTTCTTTTTATATATATATATATATATATATATATATATATATATATATATATATATATATATATATATATATAAATATATGGATATAGATCCGACAGTATGAAGAAAAATATACTGAAAAAACAAAAATCCTAATATGCGATTATGCTGTTTTAATGTTTAATGTCAACGTCGGACGTTTCGGTCTAATAGACCATCTTCAAGACATATTCATAAAACATAATTAACATAGACCATATACAATTCAACATGAAAAGACGATGGACATAAAAGCAATACCAATCCAAACAGATAACTGAAATCTTTTATAAGATCAGCGTTCCGTTTAAATATGATCACATCGTTGTCACGTGGGCGATGTTGTGAAAACGTATTCCTAAAATTTGAGTATTTTGAATGAAAAACGAAAAGAATTTTATTTTGATCTAAAACTTATATAACTTCAGTTATCTGTTTGGATAAGTCTTGTTCTTATGTACATCGTCTTTGTCATGTTGTATTGATAATGTTATAATTTATGAATATGTCCTGAAGATGGTTTAATTAGACCGAAACGTCGGACGTTGACATATTAACATTAAAACAGTATAAATTGTATATAAGGATTTTTGTTTGTTTTTTCCGTATATATTTTTCTTTCATACATATATATATATATATATATATATATATATATATATATATATATATATATATATATATATATATATATATATATAATGTATGCTATATTTAAAGATTAAAGAATTGTAATTTTGTTAAGGCTGTGATAAATCTGTCGATTTATCTGAGTCGGGAGATAAGTAACTGAACGTTTTATATATTTATTCACTATTAATACTTTATTTTTTAATATTGGGCACTTTATTTACAATTTCTGCTCACTTAAAATCCTTATCCTTCAGTAATTTTCTAGTCGACGTGTTTTGTTAGGCGCCGACAAACCTTTATTATTAATTATGTACGTATGTAATCTCCCGTCCAAATGATGTATCAGTGTTTAGCAAGATTAGCCTCTGTGTCTGCTGGTATGCGAGATTATGGATTTAGCAGCAAATCCACAGTCAGAGCAAAGGTGGAGATTTATCTCCGGGAAATTCACACATCCTAAAATTACTCCATATGACTCAAAACCTCGAATCATGGTGTCGCACTTAGTGTATAGAAGTGAGATAGAGTTAAATTGGGAGAAAGAGACAAACAGAGAGAGAAAGAGCGAGAGAGAGAGAGAGAAAAAAAGAGTGAGATAGAGTGTGATGTGTGAGTAAGTAAGAATGAAAAGGACAGCGACAGAGGATGATATAAAACCAAACTCCCATAGGCATTATAAGTTCCTCAAAACTTTGAGTAACACTTAGTATATAAAAGAGAGAGAAACACAAAGAGAGAGAAAGAGAAAGAGAGAGAGAGAGAGATGGCAAAAGAAAGAGAGAAAGAGAGTGTGTGTAAGAGAGAGAGAGAGAGATTGAGAATGAGAGTGAGAGTGACAGAAAGAGAGAAAGTGAGTGATAGTTATGTGTGAGTAATGAAAGATTGAAAGCGAAAGAGATAGAAAATAATAAAAAAAAAACTCCCATTGGCATCATACGTTCTTCTTAACCTTGGGTTGCACTTGGCATATAAGAGAGAGCAAAAGAGGGAGACGGAGGGACATTGACAGAGAGATAGCGAGAGAAAGAGAGAGGGAGATAGTGAGAGTAAAAGCGAGAGAAAGAGATTAAGAGAGATAGTAATGGGTGAGTAATGAGAGAATGAGAAGAAAAAAGACAGAGGATGATATAAAAAAATCCGATAGGCATTTTAAGTTCCTCAGACCTTTCAGTAGCACTAGCTATATGAGAGAGAGCGAGAGAGAGATAAAGATAAGGAGAGAGAGAGAGAGAGAAAGAGAGAGAGAAAGACATCGAGAGTGAGATAGCGAAAGCGAGAAAGAGAGGGAGTGAGCAAGAGAGCGAGACAAAGAGAGATTGTGGGAGGGTGAGAGAGAAAGAGATGGTGACCAGTGAGTAATGAAAGAACGATATAAAGGGTGATATAAAAAAATCTCCCATAGGCATCTTAAGTTTCTCGAACCTTTGAGTAGCATTTAGAGAGAGTGTGAGAGATAGAGAGATCGAACCAAAGAGAGGGAGATTGAGAAAGAAAGAAAGAAAGAAAGAAAGAAAGAGATAGGGATGTGTGAGTAATGAAAAAGGAAATAGACAGAGAATGATATTAAAAGAAATCTCCCATAGGCATCTTAAGTTTCTCGAAACTTTGAGTAGCATTTAGCATATAAGAGAGAGAGAGAGGGGGGAGAGTTAGAGAGAGATAGAGATAGAAAGACATTGAGAAACAGATAGCGAAAGAAAGAGAGAATGAGAGAGAGTGCGAGTGATAGAGAGGGTGAAAGAGAGAGATTGATAAAGAAAGAAAGAAAGAAAGAAAAAAAGAAATAGAGAGTAAGTGTGTGATGTGTGAGTAATGAAAGAATGAAAAGAAAAGAGTCAGAGGAGCGTATAAAAATCCAGACAAAGAAATGAGAAAAAAAAAGAGAATGAGGAAGGAAAAATTTGAGAGAAGCAGACAATCATTCAGCCAGAGAGCCATTGAAACAAGATGAGGGGGCAACGAATAAAAAAATATCTAAATAATCAAATATTTACAAGATGACGGTGTTGTCAGTTGAGCTTGTCTTCGAAAGGACTGTCTTATTGTCGCCTCAATTTAAGATGATTTTGCATATATTTTTTTGGAGGTGGGGGCGTGTTAAAATATTTTTTCTTCCTATTAAATTGTGATTTTTTTTGTTGCATTATCTGCTTGCAAGATTTCTTAGTGAGCTTCGATTGTGTTTCCCTTCTCCATTTTTGATGAATCGTGGTTTTGTATTCATAATTCATGATAAGATTTTGTAAAAGTATATAATCAGCAATTTTTTTCCCTCTGAGTCGTTATTATTTTTTGTCGTGTCATCTTCATTAAAGATGTTCGTTCTGTGCTTTTGTCATTGTAATTTTTGCAAATGATTTTATTTATGCGGGAGAAGAAAAGAACGTAGGAAGAGAAAGTGTTTGAGAGAAAAGAAAGATGAAACAATGAGAAAGAAAAAGAAAGTTTAAGAAGATGAAGAGAGAGAGAGAGAGGGCTAAAGACGAAAAGATAGAGAGAGATAAAACGTAAGAGAGATAGAGAAATAGAATGAAAGAGAAAGTGTTGGGGGCTGTTAGATATTCTATTTTGCCCAGATATCTAAGGTAACGATTGAAATGGTTGACCTGAACGAATTACTGAAAAAGAAAAATTGTGAGAGAATTAAGTTAATGGTGGAAAAGGTGGGAAAGTCAGGGCAAAATGTTGAAGAAATTTGAAAGAAACAGATGAATCAGCATGGAAAGAAGAAAAAGAAATAAGCAAGAAGGAAAAAAGAAAAGCAAGAAGGAGAAGAAAAGCGAGAAGAAGATTGGAACAAGAAGAAAAAGAAAAGAAAGAAGAAGAGGAAAAAGAAGAAAGCACTAAGAATAAAAAGAAAAGTAAGAAGAAAAAAGGAAGAAGAAAAAGAAATGCAAGAAAAAGAATGAACAAGAAGAAAAAGAAAATTAAGAAGAAGAAGAAAAAGAAAAAGAAAAGTAAGAAGAAGAGGAAAGAAAACGTAAGAAGAAAAGAGGAAGAAAGATAAATGAACAAGAATAAAATGAAAAGGGAGAAGAAGAAGAAGAAGAAGAATAAAAAGTGGAAGAAAAAAGAAAGAAGAAGGAAAAGAAAAGTGAGGGGAAGTAGAAGCAGAAGAAGTGGAAGAAGAAAGCAAGAAAAATAAAAACAAAAGTAAGAAAAGAAGAAAAAGAAGGAGGAACAAGAAGAAAAAGAAAAACAAGAAGAATGTCACAAGAAGAAAAATAGAAGAAGAAAGGAAGAAGAATAAAATGAAAAAGAAAAATAAGAAGTAGGAGGAAGAAAGTAAGAAGAAGAAAAAGAGAAGTGAGAAAAATAAGAAAAGAACAAGAGGAAAAGGGAAAGTAAGAAGAAGAAAAAAGGAGAGAATAAAAAGAAAAGAAAAAACAGAAGAAGAAAGGAAAAAGAAGAAAAAGAAATGCAAGAAAAAGAATGAACAAGAAGAAAAAGAAAATTAAGAAGAAAAAGAAAAAGAAAAGTAAGAAGAAGAGGAAAGAAAACGTAAGAAAAGAGGAAGAAAGATAAAGGAACAAGAATAAAATGAAAAAGGAGAAGAAGATGAAGAAGTGGAAGAAAAAAGGAACAATGAGGAAAAGAAAAGAGAGCGGAAGTAGAAGCAGAAGAAGTGGAAGAAGAAAGCAAGAAGAAGAAAAAGAAAAGCGAGAAAAATTAGAAAGGAACAAGAGGAAAAGGAAAAGTAAGAAGAAGAAAAAGGAAAGAATAAAAAGAAAAGAAAAAACAGAAGAAGAAAGGGACAAGAAAAAAAGAAGAAAAGCAGTAATACGAAGAAAAGGAAGAAGTAAGGACCAAGAAGCAAAACAAAACAAGAAGATAAAGAAGAAAAGAAAGAAAAAGAAGAACAAGGGGAGTCACTAATGGGAAGGAAGAAAAGAAGCGACGAAGCTCCTTGCCTTTTTTTTTTATTAAATAGTTCAATTTTATTTGTTTATTGTCACTTCAGCTGACCTCCTCCACCCAGTAATCTTTTCTTGCCGGATCCGTAACATTCTTCATACGGTAAAATTAATTCTTTAGAATGATGACGAAAGGGCAAAAAATACGAATTAAAAATTATGGAATTCATTTTTAGTCGGTCGAAAAGAATCGGGTAATTTATCAGCGATAGTTGGGAGTTGCTGAAAGAAAAAGAGTCTGCAGGGGTAGGTGCATCTGCAATAGCCAACCCAACTGTGGGTGGGTGAGATTTAGACATAATGGTTTAATTTCACGCAGTTATTTCTTCGTATTTCCTAATTCTTTTGTTTAGCCTCGACGTTTGATTTTATTATTATTATTATTATTATTATTATTGTTGTTGTAATTTTAAATTTTTTTATATCTTGTGCTGTCGAAGAAAGAGATGAGAAATATTTTAAGGTTTTGTTTTACTCATGTGGAACGCCTTCCAACTGTTTCATTATTTCAAACTATTTTAATAGCAAAAAAGTTCTAAAAAGAAATGGAAAAGCTATTTGATTGGTATTGATGATTATTTTTTAAAATGGTTTCCAACTTCGTGGTAACAGTGTATAAGTTGTATTAGTGCAACTTTTATTTTAGTGTTTTGTTTGAATTTTATATCATTCTGTTAAACTACGTTGAAGGCGTTGAAAATTAATCGGTGTGAAGCTATTCCAAAAGAAAATCTGATGCTTGGTCATTTGGTCACATTTTGGAAAATTGTTCTGCTCAAGAGCATTTTTATTAATCAGGTATACGGCATTCTTTTTTGAATCGTGATGCTTAACATCTTCCTCTTAATGTGCCGTGTTCCCTCAGGGCATAGGTGATGATGGCTCTCCAAAATTTCCTATCCCTTGTAGCTCTTAATAAACTTTTTTTTGCTGTTATTTCTCCTAAGCACCGTTCCGACACCAGTTTACTCAAGCTTATTTAATATATTAGGTTGGTGCAAAAATAATGACGTAATAATGTCGTTTTTTGACGTATTTTTTAACGTTAAAAACGACATTATTACGTCATTATTTTTGCACCAACCTAATATTATGCATTGTTTTCCTCTATCATGCTTGCCTTCTATCTGTCCTGTGAGTATCCAAGCCCTCCTTCCTCCCTATGTCCCAGGAACCTCAACTGCCTCTTCCTGATGTTAAGTAGTTGTTTCCTTTTTGTTTCCATTTTCTCCAAAACTTCGTCGTTAATCACACACTCTCGATCTTCGATACAACCAAATTTCTGTTGCTTAAAGTCTCTTCTTCATCTTTGAGGAGATCGTCCAGTATTTACTGCCATAAAGAAGGAGAGAGATCATATAGCAGTTTAGTATTGTTTTCCTTGTTTCTAGTGACGTTTTTCTATTTCTTAGTACTCTGTTTAGCTTTTGGCATGTTTCTTTGGAAATTCCAGTTTCCATGTCGCTCTTTGCGTCCTCTGTTAAAACACTTCCCAGATACTTAAATTTCCGCAATTGTTTGATTTCGGTATCGTCGATTTGCAATTCGCAATTTGGTGGGGGGGCATCCTTTTGCTAGTAACCATGCATTCTGTATTCTCTGCGGTTGATGTTAAATTCTTTCTTCTTGCTTTCCCTCACTATGTAACTACAGTTTATGTAACTTTCTTTCTGTGCTATCATGTTTATGTCATCTGCATAACTTATGTTACTAAAATTGTGGCCACTGTTTGGATCTTGGTAGCACATCTAGTTTTTCCAAAATCACCTCGCTCTATCGGTTGAATAAGTCCGGTGGGAAGACATATCCTTGTCTTACACAGCTGTAACATCACAGTGGCTAAATTGAAATCATACTTTTATTGAAAGAAGTAAATTAAAATTTATATAATTCGAAATGATGATACATTTTTCAATATAGATGGCTGGTGCCAAAAATTTAATCGAGAGGATTGCAGCGTTGCATCTGCAAGAATGATGCTGCAGAGTGAAGAAATCTTTTAAGTGTCGTTAAGTTTCACTCACCTTTTTTTATGGTTTCTGCAATAAACCATCTTCCATGGATCGTTTACAAGCTTTCGTGATAATTGCAAAGTTAGATAAATGATTGTCTCATAAAGGATTACTTTTTCTTTTTTCTTAATCTATCGTTCACCTAGAACGAGGCTCTAGAGCTACTCTGGGTAGGGGTGTTTTATGGTTGCAAGAATTGTAAATTATAGAGATATGTAGGATATTAACGGTTGAATTTAGAATTGAAGTGATCGTGAAAGCATGATCTCCGGAGATTTTTTTCCACAAAGTAAAAGTTCTAAAAAAATGAAGTTGCCAGAGTGATACTTACTCTTTGTCAATTCAATACGAAAAGGAATGAAGATCATTTGTTATGGGGTATCGTAGTTGTAAATGTATGGACTGGAGAATCTTGGGAATGTAACTAGTATAAATATTGACGATATGATTAAATATAAGTCAACAAAAATAGCGGTATAGTAGCTATAAGCTTGCAACTTTGCCGTCGAAGATAATGCGTTGCAGAGTAGAGAGTATTTTATCATCTACAAATCTGCGTAAAAAGCTTTTAAATTCGGTCGAGGCTTGAAAGGGAGGATTTGGTTAGCTTAGCTCCAACCCAAGTATGGTAGCAATTCTGGTCGGATATAGCTCTTCTAAAGATTGGGCATGATAGGTGGAGTCAGATACTTTCTGGAGCGGTATAAAAGCCGACCCTTTTCCCAGCGTCTTTAATGATGCATCGTATTTATCCGTTTTATTTGAGGATTTGATTTGTAAAAATACGGCTTAAACCTTTGCAGTTTATTCGTTGCTATCCTCATAGTATTTCGGTCCTCGTGTTTTCTGGCCTTCTTTAGATGTCAATCGATCTTGCTAACCTTCGGTGAATTTCCAACTGAACCTATTATTTTTTCCGGGGGCGGGGTAGTTTGTTCTTGTCCCGCTCTCCTTGTCTAGAGATACGTTATCTTGATCTTACTTGTTTTTAGTACTGCTAGTCTGAAAGATT